CACCACAACGAATTAGAAATTTTGCATTTTGTTCTATTTTTAAAAAGGAAAGCTAAAAGAAAAAGTGGAAAGCAGTGAGGCAAATATGTTTTCAGCTATGTCTCCGGTAAAAGATAAAACTACTGTTGATGTAATGTCCCTCAGGTTCCTATAAAGTCTCAAAGGAGTCATCACACAGGGCAGTACGGACAGCTTTATGGCCTCTTCAAACTATTCAACTTCTTTTTTTAAAGCTTTTTTGTTTTGACATGAAAGGGCCGGCAGACACAAAGAAGACGCACAGCAGTCGGATTGGAAAGGTGCAGCGTCTCGCATTGTTTTAGTCACAGTAGGAACACCTTGATGTAAGCTGCTTTTTGTAAACCGACCAATCGCAACACCGAATGGGCTGGCTTTCAAAGTACAGAAAAACTGATAGTTCAAGACAACACCTTACCCCCACATTCCCCTTTTGCACCACATTAAATGAAAGGGTTTTCCCCGTGTCCAGAGAGCAGGGTTTCCCCCCAGGAAATTGATTAGTGGAAGTGGTAACTGTTAAAAAGAAGCCTTTATTCTCTCCCAGCACATACAAAATGCTCTGATAATGGAATTGGTGAACTGCTTCTATAAATGAGGAACTTTAACATTAAAATAGCATCGTTGGTGATTATGAAAACTCAAGTTAACTTTAACCCAGTCTTTGAATAGCAGAGGAGTTCGCCTCCAACAGTTCCTGAAGAGAACATATTCTCTATTTATTCCAACATGTGACGTGTTACCTTGATTAATTGCTGTAATTAACTACTGTAATCAATAATTACATAGTGAATATTCAATTTGTAGACCTGGTGGATAAATTACTGTCATGTACTAGGCTCAGTCTGATCATCATTTCTTTTTGAAAACAAATCTCGCTTGCTCCAGAAGTCGGAAGTTCATTTTCCAATCTATTTACAGCTGCTACTTGTAATGTGAATATTCATTTGTGTTTTCTCTGCTGGAGAACTGAATGCATAGTCTTTTTCACAGATTTGTAGAAGGATGGTAGGACTGTTAAAAAATATTAAATTAAAATATTACACCGATGTAGACAAATTACCCATACTCCACCTGTGGTGCCACCCACATTAGCGACCCCAGAGGGCTTAAACACACAGGCAATATGGTTGAAATTAGTTTTACAATATTCATATTTTTCCAATATCAATATGTATGAAAACATGGGAAGGTAAAATCACATAAAATAAAACTGAATTTTGTTTTGAAAAACCTCAGTGAGCAGTTGATCGTTTTGCAGGTAATTTACAAGATAAAAACCTATTTTAAAAAAAAGAAGAAAAAATGACTGACATTGAATGTGGAGATACGTATTTCAAGGCCACTGAATGTGTACCAGAATCACAAGGGCAGAAAAGGCTGATATACAGGCTGCAGTGGAGAGTGAGGAAAAGCAAGTGATGTTTCTCTGCACCACACCACTAGAAGCAGCTCTGGTGGAGGCAATTTCATCTTAGCAGGGGGGCAGCAGAAGCTATGGACTTGTCCCTGATCCGCTCTGGATTTCAGAGTATCACCCTTGACTTCTCTCCTATGAAAACAACCCCAGCTTCACTACCTAGTCTATGCTTCAAATACACAAGGGACTAACAGTGCCAGTTAGAGTAACAGTTTTAAAACAGCATGCTGAATAGCAATGAATACACATAAGGAAAAAAATACTGGATTATAGAGTGTGGAGAGAGAATTCATGTTGCTTCAGTCTGGTATACAAGCATTAAACATCTAGACAGCTGACACGTGAACATTTGATGTGATGAGAAATGGGATAAAACCATGGGAGTTTAGAAGGTGTGCATTATTTCCATGGTGCAAATGGAGACCTTGCTATAGTTCAACTGCACTACATCTACATGAATCCTGCAGCTCAGCCTGCACTGTACGCACTGTTTTGAACAACAGCAATATGAGCAAATTAACAAACTGGAGAGCTTTGTTAGATAAAATAAAAGCCAATACTCCTTCTGGTTTGCCACAATAGTCAGCTGAACGCTAAAAGCTGAAAGCGGGTGATTACACTGACCCCAGCCACTAAAAAGATGCAACAGCATCTATTCAGTGGATATTGATCCACCTTTCCCCCTGTCAATTACATGTGATAAACTGCTGTGACAGTTAGGGTAAATTATTTAAATAATTGCTGTCCTTTTAACCCCCACAAAGCCTGGACAGGCCGATTTAGCTTCACGAAAAAAGCGAATACAAAACAAAGGACGAGTAAGTTTTTATTTTTAACTGTGATCTCAGAGCGCTGACCTCGCCGTGCCACCTCTTTCACAAGAAAAGTGAGCAGCAACAGACTGAGCCTCCACATCAAGTAGCCATTGCAGATCAGTAGCATTTCCTAATGGGGGTGGTTTCATTAGTGAAGCAGATGAATCAAACACTTGGCCAAGTGTGCAATTATCCGTCTCTTGGTGGATGGAGGTCATTAGGACTTTATGAGCGATTGGAGGCCATAAATAAATGATCAGTAAACAGCATACTCTATACAGCAGAGACAGCAGGTGACTCTGCATGATATCAACTCATCACAAGATGATGCGGACATGCAAAAGAAATTCTATTTTGAGCTGAAGATGAAGTTGTAAAATGAATGTATGTAAATGGCTAGAACAGGAACCTTTTTTTCTACATGTTGCATACAGATTATGTCGCGAAATGATGGGTGATGGGTGAAATTGAGGAGAAATGAGATCCAACTTTCCAGCTTTCCTACCTCTATTTCCCCAAAAACCTGGGCTGTAGGACCACCAGCGCTTTCCAAACACAACAACACAAAAGGTGGTAAATTATGTTCTTAGCAGCAGAATCCACAGAGTAGACCTTAAATGCAGCAAAGAAAACGACAGTTGTTTATAAAGTCTGGGCAATGTTGCATCGGAGGTGGTCTGTGGGGATAAAATCCTGGTGAGTGGTTTCAAAGAGCAGAGAGGGTTGCCAAATGTTTACACATTTCAGCAAGTTATTTGCATTGTCCGCTGGGAGACAATCGGCACACAATTCCCTCCCAGCAGGATTACAGAGATAAGATAAAGCCTAAATGGATTTTTACACTCCTAACAGGGACTTGTTTACAAAAGTTTTAACAACTAGGAGGTACCGAGGAGGAAGTGGTAAAAAAAAAAAAAAAAATAGCAGCAAGTTTGGCTCAACCTTTACAGGTTATTCCAAAGTAAAACAAAATTAAGACTATCTATTAAATCTGTCCCCAAACCGAATGACACAGACGGAAACTCTTTAAGTTAGGGCTGAAAACTCTGCCAACTTTGATAAAAGATAAGTTCTGGCCACAGTCAGGACCTCAAAGAAATGTGTTTTGAATAAACAGATATTTTCGGAGAAGGGGACCCCACAATTAGTAATTTGAGACTCTCTCTGCGTGTGGGTCCCAGTCCAATTCTCTGGAATCAATCAAAGCTCCCAAAGGAACTCCCTGGTCCCCTTAATCTCCTGGTTTTATTACTTTCCAGACAGTCGGCCTGTTTTACCCTACCCCCATCTCTCTCTTTTGTACTGATCTCCAGCAAAGCCAAGGAGGGGCTTTTTTTTTCTCTCTCTCTCTCTCTCTCTCACACTCCCTCTCTATCTCCCCTTCCACCACTGCAGAGCGCTTTTCATGCAGGAGAGGGTCTTTCATCAGGCTCCACACGCAAGAGAGCCAAACAGCTAGCTCAGGCCTGTCACTCCAAAGCCCGTCTTCTTTATACATTCATTCTCATTCCTTTTGTTTTTTTAAAAAACAACAACATTTCAAAAAAAGGTGCGTGGACTTTTCCTTTCCTGACACAAACACACACACACACACACACACACACACACACACACACACAAACTATTTAGCATATCACGAGAATGATGGGGAAAGAAAAAACTGGGCCATGTTGCACAAGAGTCAGTTACATTCACAATTTTCCAGACCACATGCTGCTGTGTTTGATAGTGTCTAACAGCTTAAATGATAAAGATATGACTCTGTCACGATGGGGTATGTGATAAGGGCTGGAGCCCTGCACTCCAATGACTGCTGGAAAGCCTTTTCTTTTTCTTTTTTTTTTTGGACTCATGGCTCTCCAATTTATCTCAGGCACTCATGGCTTTGAGTGCTTATAACGGATTGTGGTGGGTTAGGCTGAAACACACAGACTCTAATCAGCACCTCTAATATCAGTGGATTTTTTTCTCACTATGAAACACCACCAGTTGGGAACAAGACAGAGGCTGAAGTGCACACTGCAGTGCAGAGCCCTCACTTCAAAACAATTAACAGAAGCAAATGAATTGGGGGTCTGTTTATCCATCAGCTAAACATGTATTGACGCCAAGGTAATGAGATGTCTGCTGGACTGATGATGCCAGCTTATTACCTGACAGTGACCACTAATGACTCTTTGCATAGTGTATATATATATATGTGTGTGTGTTAAGTTCCTGCACTCCTTTACATTCCCCCCAGCATCAAGCATCAAGCACAGATAAGACTGATGATCCCAATTTGAACAAACACGTGTGTTCTTTGACCTTTCGAGCCCCGATGCGCACAATCCAAAGGCATGTTTGTGAAACACCTTAAACCGCATGTGTACGACTCGTCTGAAAAAGACAAACCTATCAGCAGTTCTGCCTCAAAACAGCCCCAATGCAGACAAAAGGAGAGTAGTGTGCGGAAAAGCATGTTGCTTTAATGCCTGAAACAGGGGGGCCGGATCCGGGACTATAATGCCTGTTATGAAAAGTAGCCCACTTTAAAAGTTGTTTAAATGGTTAAAGAGTGATCTGACCTAAAGAGAGCAGAATTAGCTTCCTAGCTCCTTCTTCTCTGAGCCAACAGCTTGCATTCCGTGGGGTTTTTTTTTTTTCCTCCTTCCAACTCGTGATACAATGTAGGTAAGTTTGTTCAATCGAGGCGTAAAGAGGCAGACGTACAGCAGAACAAGTAGCAGTGCATTAAAGCCATTTACCTTTGTCGACATGCTTAGCCGCCGCGGTCTCGGTGTGGAGAAAGGTGAGACAGAGGAGAGAGAGGAGCGACAGAGCTCCCCGCTCGGCCATCACTTTTCACAAATAAATCTTTGCAGGATTCAGGAACCCCCGGAGAAGATTTTTTTTTTTTTTTTTATTTAGAGAAAAAAAAAAAAAAAAAAAAAAAAAAATCCTTAAAATCCACCTCCTGTAAATGCACAAGGAGAAAAAAACCAAAAAGTTCAAAGTCCTAAAATGTGCAGAAACATCCGGAGCCAGGTACTTTTAAAACTGGCCGGATGAAACATGTAGCTGGAAGAAGAAAAGAAAAAAAAAAAGAGCCGCAGGTTAGAGAGACTGTTTTCTCAACTTGGTCGAGGCAGAGGTCGGAGAAAAAACACTGAAATCAATCCATTGCCACGGAGGCGCAGCGCAAGGACAAAAAGATCTGCTGCCGACTGAGCACCAACGCGCCGACCTCACTACTCCGATATCTGCCAAAGCGCGTAGAAAGACAAGAAAAGAGCCTCAGTTGGAGAAAAGATAAGATCCGACCAGAAGGAGAAATCTCCTCCGCGGCCAGCTCACTGCTCACGGACGGGACGTAAGAGAGCAGCGTGTTTGAAGGGCTGGATCTCCACTGGCTCCCCGGAAAACAGGGTGTGGAGTCACACGGAAGTTTGGATCGTGGCTGTTTGTGTGCTCAGGCAAAAACTAAAATATGGTGTGGAAATTCAGTCCAAAGACAACTGCTCGTCCTTATACCACAGGTCTACTGGTGTGCTTAGATTATGAGACACCTTATGCAGCATTAATAACAAATATTAACCCAAAGACACATATCCCACAATGTCATGTTTTAACTTCTTTTTTTTTTTAACATTCAAGTTACAAATCTTCTGCTGAAAGATAAATACATTGCCAAACTGAAAACTCCAAGGAGGTTTGGCAAAACCCTTTTAGACATTTCAGATTCTCAAAAGACTTTTCTACCCAACTTGAGTGACAAATATTCAGAATTTTCAAAATAAAACATAAGATTTATCACTCCAAGCCACTGTTATTTCTTAAACCAAACAAAGATGGCAGCCAGAAGTGGCTTATCTCCTTCCTTGTATCTATTATATAATATATATTCACAGAGCTTTCACTTTCTGATTCACAGCCTGCATTAAACACATAGTTATAACAACCAAAGGGCTAATAGGACAATGGTGAAGTGTCAGGGAGAAGAAAACATTGCATTTGTCAAAAAAAGAAGCCTATTGTATGTAAATATAATATGTAATACAGACATAATTGTATTAAAAGATCCTAAAAGTACAAGGAAAACTCATCTTTGATGCAATATTCACAGGAAATAATCTGCTAGAAATTTCTCCAAATCACTCCTTTTACACAAACTCCCTGCAGTTATTGTGTTCAATATTTGGATTTATTGTACACTTTATCACTTGTTGTGCACTTTTATTGTTGTATTGAACTCAAATAGTATGAAATATCCATACAATATGTCACTTAGTTGGGTCACCAGTTTACTCAGTGATAGAAAAGGGGTTCCTTAAGGTTGGGAACCACTGAAGTAAAAGGTCTCACCAAACTCAAGTCAAATGTAAATTAAGAAAGTACAGCAATACGTTTGGCTTGTATCTAGATTTATCTTTGAGGAAAAGAAGAGGAAAAGATGCAGTCTGTAACTTCATTGTTGTAAATTATCAATGCAAACATAAAAAACAATGATAAAATGTAAAAGTTGAACTCATGTGAGAGGCATAAATGGGACTACAAGCCAACTATAGGCCCAGCAAAACCGGATAAAGTTAAACTGTGAAGTAATATTTTTCTTTCCTACAATCAAATTTAATGAGAAAGATGAAGATGTCTTTTCCGATATTGCGGTGTGTCTGTGTACCTGTGGGAATGAGAGAACAGGTTAGTGATAACAAGAAAATTTTAAAGGCTCATTGCCTTTGGTCAAACACTCCTTAATTAATGCATCTTTAATTTTTTGCATGGTTGCCTAGAAACAATGAGTTTTTCGTCTTACTCACCACCTGACCTTACTTTCATCCATGGTTATTTCTGAAATAATAATGTCAAGATAAATTAGATGGTGCGTGGCTGATTCAAAATGTTCTGTCAATATAAAAGCTGAATTAAATTATCAGAAAAACAGTGAACTTTACCCCTAAACTGCTGTATTATCACTTACTTACTGGCATCTTTGACATTGTTTAGTACTGTATATTTTATGTTGTAAATCTGGGCCATAAAAGTTTGAGTCAGACTATGTTTAGCAAATATAAATGTGGATAAACTGGATTTCAGTGGGTTTATTCTCCACTGCACTTAAGTTTTCATGGCCCTCAAGGGGACATAGACTGGGATTCTGAAAAGCAGTAAAACATGATCTTAATTCATGCCACAAGAGTCCTCTATATCCAGTTATCATGAATTCAATAGTGGTGAATCTAGTGCAGCACAATTGACATTTTTACCCTTTACAGCCTAATCCTGCGATTAAGTAGCTCTCATACAGTGGAGTTATTGCAAGCTGCAGTGATACATCCATACGGCCAGCTCGTCATTGTAAATGAGAATCGGTTCTCAAGTGACTTCTCTAGTTAAAAAAATAAAAATCAAGATCTAGAGCAAGCTGCAGTGATACACCCTTGCCCACTGCAGCTGTCCTCATAACTAGTTTATACATAATCCAAATAATGGGTAAAAAAAATCTTTTCCTGTTTAGAATAATGTTCACAGAAATCTAAACAGACACAGGGGCCGACATCTGTAACTTCATTTCAACAGATGATGTCACATGGTGGCTCTAAAATCAGAAGATAGGATTAAGTCCTTTAAGTTTCAGATCAAGTTGCTTAAAATAATCCAGGGGATGGTGTGTATTGTTATATGACTGCGGATGAAGGAGGAGATAAAGTAAGTATCCTTGTTTTTTAGGAGTAGGGAATTGAAACTGAGGCATTAAACCAAGGTGAAAATCTAGTGACATTTGCATCGTTTTCCCCTTTTTTCGAGAAAAGCATCTGTATTCATTGGTATAAAAAGTGACGTTGTTAAATGGAGCAGAATTATGAAAGTGAGGGAAACAAGCGCTGCATTCACCGTCAGCTTGTGACTAGGCTCTAGGGAAAAAGGAAAAGTGAAGGGTGGCCTGTTTGGAAACAAGTGATATGACTGCTGTTTCACCCACTGAAACTCCCTCAGTCAGACCCATGGAACAGCTCCCCCCACTGGTTTAAGTAATCCATGACATATTAATCATGACCATATCCCCCCATGGGCATGGCAAGGCCTCTTTTTGTTTGGTATCTCTGTAGCTCTGCCCTGGACCTCTTCTCATTTTAACTGTCAAACATAACATTTTCACTTCCAATTAATGATTCTTTCTTTCCGTTTCACTGATTGCATGGTGTGCCTCAAGGCTCACCTCTTGGGCCAGCAATTTTTTTCTTTATACATTTGTCTTCCTATTTCTCAGCTCCTTTCTGTTACAAATATAGCCATATCCCATGGGCAAGCTAAATTCTTTCACTGAATTGTGATCATTGTAACTTTTTAGCTGCTGTCAAGGACAAGATTTATGAGAAATTCCTTCCACCGAATTCATACAAACATGGTATAATTTTTATTGGCCTTCCACACATCTCCAGAAAACAAGGGCATACAACAGTTCAGCAGGACTGCAGAGGAAAACACATGAATAATTCAATGTGTAATCTGTAAATACTGCCATGCTTCCTGGTGGGCAGTAGAGGGCAGACCGGCTAATTATGAGAGAGTAAATGAATAAATACACCAATAAATCAAAGTACTTAGTGTTTACTGTATGTAAGTGAGTAGCATTGCTTCTAAAAGTGGTTCAAACAATGGTTTATCTTTCATGAACATTTACCAATAAAGTTGATACATAAATGTACCTTTAAATATTCCGTCAACTTCAGAATTAAATGTAACTTTCCTGCATCTGATCAGATTGTGCCAATTTTTTAAATTTTATTTGGATAAACAAATCAGTAGCCAGCAGTAATCATTTTTCCACACTGGCTGCCATTGATGATCATGATTTAAGAATCAATTCAAAGTCATTTTAAAGACATAGCCAGGTGATAAAAATCTCACCCTCTGTAACCTATATAAGTAGGTGTGAGATTATTATACAGGGTCAGGTACAAGTGACAGTAGGCTACGATAAGGTGTGTTTTACGAGTGCTTCAGATGTACATATCAAGGAGAAGAGAATAAAAGAAAACACCTGATTGTATCTTTAAAAATATTGGTATTTATAACTCATAATATTGGCACTAATGTGTTGTACTTTTGTATCAGATTTATATTTATATTCAATTTGTTGAAATAAAGTTTGTAGGGAACATAATTTTTTTGCTACAAATCTTGACAATTTGGTGTTATGCCTTAAATTGGTACAGAAGTCACTAGACTTCTTTTGCATGGACGCATGATATTCAGGTAATGGCATATTTAAAACATACACTAAAGACAACATACTGTACAGTCTGACAGATTATCATGGTTTTGGCTTGAAGCTGGTTTTACATAACCAGCCATTATAATGTAATTGTCAACATTTGTTCCTCTAGAATTTACATCCTCGGTCCACTGATAAGAAACCAAAACATTTATTCCAACACTGCATGAGAACCCACCGCAGATTTTTACAGTATGGTCTGCTCTTTATAATGAAGCGATATATTCCACAGCAGACCTGGCTGTTAAAGTCAGTTCACATCCACAAGCCAATTATATTATATACATGCACACAGCTGGGCTCAAACTCACTTCTAATTCTTTAACAGTGTGTGTTTTTTTCCCACAGCCTGTTGCTCTGTGTCCTGGGAACATATTTCTTCCAGATTAAAGAACAAGGTCATACCAAATCTCAAATCTCCAACATTAAAGAGATATTCACATCATGAATCAAGTAATGACAGCCATGCAGTCGAGGAAATGGCCATTAGATTACTGCACGGAAAGGACGGTGGATTAACTTGCACTTGAAGCAGCTGTTGAGTGTAATATTTCAAACGTTTCTAAATATTTTGAACGCTGTTAAAAGCAGCAACCATATGTACAGTATAACATATTCAGACATCATTAAGTTGCATGGATGTGTGTGGGGTTTCAGAGGACGGAAAGGTTGTACAAGACTGGTGTTGCCACGAGTTTATGAGTGGAGAGGGGAAAAAAAGTACTAGCAACCAGTACAGATTAAAAGGAAATCTCCACACACTGAATCTGTTTTATATCACTTTTATATTTAATTGCTAATTAGTTGCCATATTATTGAATCATAACATCCTTCTCTTAAATATTACCACCCTAATAATATCCAGTAGTATCCCCAAATCAGCTATTCTGTTTAAATGATCGGTGTGGATTACCAGTACTGGCATTGAGTTGAATGTGATCCCAGCATGATCCTGATCTTATTTAGAACCAGATTAAGAGGCACGAGGCTCAGCTCATAGAGGAGCCGGATGAATGGTCTTTAGCATGGCATTTGGTGCATCCTGAGGATTATTTACACTCTGGATGAAATATCACCTCATCCACTGAGAGCAAAAGTTCAGCTCCAATGCAAAAT